TTCAATGTGCCCTGTGGCAGAAAGAAAAAACGCTGAAATCTGTGGCAAAGTATCCAGCCATCATAAAATTTCTTTGCAGCTGCCCAGGAAAGACATCAAATTCCACTAACATCCTAGCATTCAGATGGTATCTTTCAAAATAGTCACAATTTTAAAAAAGTGTTAATCCTGATGAGAGTACATGAAAATGGCCACATATACTTTGCAGGTGAAGCTCTAAACTGGTACTGTGGATGGTAACTTGACAATATTAATAAAATATTTATCACTAGGAAATTATCCTAAGGTAATTATTACAAATATATTCTGGTATCATATTTTTCAATAATTTTTTACCAGCCAACTCTTCTGTTTTTAGCAATTCTGTTTACTTCATACAGTTTTACTTCATACAGTCATTAACAAGCATGTGGCTGGGCATGGTGGCTCACGCCTATAATCCCAGCACTTTGGGAGGCCGAGGTGGGCGGTTGCAGTGAGCTGAGATCATGCCACAGTGTGATGTAGCTATAAAGACGTTTCTTATAGCGTTAATTTTACTGATGAAATTTGAGAACATTCTAAAATCCAACAATAAAGGGTTAATTAAATAAAATATGATCCATCTGTTCAACAGATTTTCAAGGAAAAATTGTTCAGTCATTTCCATGTAGAACTTTCCATGTAGGAAGGACCAGCTTCCTCATCTGATCTGGTTGGGACACCCCCTTGAGTCAGATCTTCCTATTTCCTGAGATGATATCTACCATCCCCTTTTACCTGATAGGTTGCAGCTGTGAGAAACTGGTTTATTACCCAAGGGTTATAGAGATGAAGATATTCTCAACATGTTATGTGGATTACATGTGCATTTTAATATGCTAGGATGAGATGCACTAAATTGTGGATTGTGGTTGTCCTGGAGGACAGAATTAAAGAGAATCTTTACATTCCCTGAATTGTTTGAATATTTTACAAAGTTTTACCAAGGGAAAAATCTATTTAGAAATTTGATAAAAGGCAATAATTATCTTATTGGTCCATTGTACAAATACCTTGAAGCTATAGTGACAGTCAATAAATTAAGCATGACAAAATTAATTAAGATCTGTGTTATTAATAAAGCAGCAGCAAAATAATAAAGCAGGTACAAACCAACATCTAGAATCACCCTGTTTTTCAAGGAGCTTTGCCTCAGAGACCCATCTACTATGGATTACATCACAACTGTTAAAGCAATACGAAGCAACTTTGACTTAATATGCTGAAGAAAGAATTAGTGTTTAAAAATACACAATTATCTTTCTTTTGTTTGCTGGGTGCCCATTTGACAAACAACTGTTTTGGCATGAAAATTCCCATTTCTAGGTATAAGCCGAGAGGAGTGAAAAAAAAGAAAATTTTTATTTCTACAATTTGCAGCATGTTATCATCACATGGAGAAAAATTGAGTGCCAGAGGCCCAGAAGAATCCACTCATCTGGCCCTCTAGCGTGCGGTTTTAACAGCACAGTAGGTATATCAGTAACACAGGGTTTGTGTAATGACTATTCAGAGTTTACTCTCAGTCACCACTGCCTGCAATTAGAAAAAAGTACATAGCACGCTAAGTGGGTCTACAATTTAAGAAAGATTGCTTTTTAAAAAAATGGACTTAACTACACTTTGGATCCAAACTATTACATTATTTCCTGTAGCTGAAATGCATAAACAAACTATCAAGAATTGGCACCTACCATTTGAAATGGTTTTCAAATAATGCTTGGGAGCAGAGACTCTGATCTTACTTGGGGGGGTGGGGTATAGGGACCTTGAGCTAGTTTATCATATGCACAGTGTGAGGGCATTACCAAGCCCATGTGAAAGACAGACTGGAGTCTACATTATTCAAGAAGCTGAGTTTGGCCTGTTTAATGTGGAAATTTCACTTTTTTTTTTTTTTTGAGACGGGGTTTTCCCTTTTTTTCCAGGGGGGGGGGGCAAATGGCGCGATCTCGGCTCACCGCAACCTCCGCCTCCTGGGTTCAGGCAATTCTCCTGCCTCAGCCTCCTGAGTAGCTGGGATTACAGGCACATGCCACCATGCCCAGCTGATTTTTGTATTTTTAGTAGAGACGGGGTTTCACCATGTTGACCAGGATGGTCTCGATCTCCTGACCTCGTGATCCACCGGCCTCAGCCTCCCAAAGTGCTGGGATTACAGGCGTGAGCCACCGCGCCCGGCCCGGAAATTTCACTTTTAAAATGTCCAAGGGAAATAGGCTTTGAAAGCCCTCACAAGAAAGATGCGCTCATTTCTGCCAATAATTCTACCACAATTCAAAATGTTATCTTTGTGCTTTACAGTTACCATAGCAGTGAGAGATTCATAGTCAGCAGAATTATTTCAATTTCAATAATTAAACTAAACTGTTTAGGTGACCCACAAGCCAATTTTCTTTAGCATAATGGTTTTTCCTTTTTTATTTTACATTAAAGGTCTGTTAAATATATTATGCTGAATCCTAATATGTAAAATAGATGTTATCAGAGCTGCTGTGGTTGAAGCAGGAGCGGAGGCCCAGGGTTCTGCCTCCTCAGCAGCCCCGCCCCCAGGCAGATCCCAAAGGAATCTCTGGGGAAACCTAGAACTGCAGAGAACACAGTCCAAAAAACTACCATCCAGACATTGAGAGTGTGGCAATGTCTATAATTTCATCTTTTCCTTGTTATCCATTACATGGATAAAATACCTTATTTCTTTTCTTACTAGATGTATCACATGCCTTTTTTTTTTTTTCTTGTTTCTACTGGTAAGAAAGAATAAGATGAACTGATAATCCTCAGGCTTTTTTTTGCCCTTTTAATGTTTTCAATCCATGGGGAAAAAAATCTCAAAAACCTATTCATCTTAGGCAAATCTCAATCCCAGGAAATATCCTAAGGTTTTAGGGGTTTAGGCCCTTTAAATGACTTTAGGAGAGCAAGCTACATTGTCTATAACTCCTGGATGATGAAAAAGCTACATAAATGTCAGCATCAGACCTAGGGTATGATCTGCAGGAGGAAGATGAATGCCAGAGACGTGAAAACTGCTCATTCATCCAGCCATCAATCCACCCATCCATTCAACAAAACCATCCACCCATTCATTCTTCCTTCCATCCAATCAACAGATACTCCTGGTACTGACACAAGAGCTTCTCAAGAATCAATGCTTCGTCTCACTCTTTCCTGTGCCCTCTACAGGTCTAGCACAGTAAGCACAAAGTACATACTCAAAAACTTGTGGGGGTCAAAGACTTTGTTCTTGAATTCATGGCTCTAGGCTCTAAGAGTGTGCGAAATGACTCCTCGACTTTCTACACCAATTGCCAAGATAAATGCAGTAATCGTGCGAGAGCTTCCCCATAGCTCACTTATACTTCTCAGTGGCAGCTTAAGCCTCATTCCATCTTTCTGGCCTTTGAATGGAAGAGAAACCAGTATGGACTGCGGAGTCCCTAGACAAAGAATGAACTTTACACTGTAAGACACAAGACTAATTACTTTATTAGGTGCATTCTATAAGTTGAAGATGAGAATTTTTGGCAAATAAATAAATAAATAATCAAACAGACTTTGGGGCCAAGGAGCTCAGGAAAAGGGAAGCGGAGTCTTTGCATAGTTCTAAATGAACAGGAGGTGGCAGCAGTAGGCAACGTGGATTCTCGGCAGAAATGCAGCACTTGCAAAAACCAGGGGCAGAAGGCTTTGAGAAAGAGGAGAAGGTCAGAAGGTGGCTAACTATTTCTTTTTCATAGCAACCGTGGTGGGGAACGCTCGTCCTCTCTAGCAGGGGCGGGATGCGGCGTCCTACATGATCTGCCTGGGCATCCCGTACCCTGTCATGCCCGCTTGGGAGGCTCCCTTGTTGCTGCCCATCTGCAGGCCTATTACGTTCTGTCCCTGGCGAAGCTGCTCCTCAGAAAAGCCTCTCCGATTCTGCTGAGCTTTCCTGGACGAGGAAAGTGAGAGGGAATAACGTTATTATGACAGTTCTCCAATCCTTTTCAAGATATGCAATTAGACAGGCGCTAGTGGGGGTTCCCAAATAGATCAGCGGGCCCTACCCTGAGCTGTGGTTATGAGCTGTGGCCCTACGCTGAGCTATCTCTGGCCCTAGCCTGGGCTGTGGCCCTACCATGATGCATGAGCTCCCTATCTTTTAGAAGCCCAGGTGTTTTCCAGGATTTCCAGCAAAGAGGAGGGAGAATCAGTGGCCACCTCTCTGGGGAATTCTCTCTCAGCTTTTCTTATTTCTCTTTCTCCCCACTCTCCCTTCTTCCCCCACCACTTCAGGCCATCTCAGGCTTCTAAGAAGTCTGCCTCTTCTTACCCTTTCTCTCACAGCTACCTCAAGCCTTTGTGAAAATTAAAATCAGATCTTCTTTTTTTTTTAATTTTTTTTATTTTTGAGACAGAGTCTGGCTCTGTCGCCCAGGCTGAAGTGCAGTGGTGTGATCTCAGCTCCCTGCAACCTCTGCTTCCTGGGTTCAAGTTATTCTCCTGCCTCAGCCTCCTGAGTAGCTGGGACCGCAGGCACCCAACACCACACCCAGCTAATTTTTGTATTTTTAGTAGAGACAGGGTTTCACCATATTGGCCAGGCTGGTCTCAAACTCCTGACCTTGTGATCCGCCCACCTTGGACTCCCAAAATGCTGGGATTATAGGCGTGAGGCACTTCACCCGGCCAAAATCAGCTCTTCTTACAAAGCATGTCATTAATCCCATTCCCCCTTTCCCTGTATAGGGCCAAGATGAATATACCATTTTAGAGCCAAGGGACCTAAGTGTTAATGAGGGGAAATGTCTCACTCTAGATTAGAGGTCTGCAAACTTTGGTAAAGAGCCAGATAGTACATAATTGTGGCTGTGTAGCCACATGGAACATGGTAGTTTAATAACACAGATACTAAAACCAGGGCTTCAAATGGCCAATATCTCAGAGGTCTCAGGGCAAGCATTCTTTAAAATGACATAAGCTGGTAACTTTTTTTAAATAACTGTCAAGGAGAAGAAAAGAGGATCATGGAAATGAATAATCAATTATTTGCCACAGAGCACTTTTCTACAACTAAGTCATCCAGTTTTAAGTTTCCTGCCTACCCTACACACTGAAGAAAAAACCACTTTAAGAAAAGGCCCTTTACCCTGAGAGATAATCATAGAATTTATTAACCAGACTAGGACACTGTTGAGAGTGAAACAAGGTTCTATTCATAAATATACTGGGACAACATAGATATTAACCATGATGGTGTCACACCGACAGGACATATTACCCCTTTATTAAGTACACAAACAAAAAGGGAAGGAAGGAAGGAAGGAAGGAAGTGAGGGAGGGAAGGAGGGAGAGAAGGAAGGAAGGGAAGGAGGGAGGGAGGGAGGCAAGCAAGAAGGCTCAGAGCTGGCTTAAGTCATAATAAAACCAAGTTCAGACATGAAGGCACCTTCAAGAAAGGCCATCCAGTCCTGCTGAGCCTCAGAAGAAATGGAACCTGGGTGGAGCTGAAGGATGCAGGTGTCTGGTAGAAAAGGCCCAGCCATTTCTGCTCTGGATAGGTTACTGGCCTGGATGGCAGCATCAGTCTTTCACTGCTTTGGAGAACTCAGTTGTGGCGCCAGCAGTGCTAGGTCCTGAGGGCTTTGTACATAAACCCTCTGTGGGGTTCCAAGGCTTCAGACCCTCCCTCTCGTTAAAATCACCTTGTGGTCCGGAGGACAAGGAAGAGACTTTTACCTGTGAAACCAGGAAGGCTCTCCCCGATAGCAGCCATCATCCTTGGTGACTGCAACGCTGCCTAAAGCCATCAGGGTCCTCTGCACAGCCGCCATGTCCTTCCCTGGAAGCCAACAAAGAGATTAAAGCCAAGCACGTGTCAGAGCCAAGGAATGCTGGGAGGATATGGCTGGACATCCAGGAGGGAAGTTCTGATAGAAGCCTGCGGATGACCACATTCAAGAGGGCAGCGCTTTCAAACACCTCCCAAAGTGGCCCTAAGACAACCATACCCAAACTTTTCAGACAGGAACAACAGATAACCTGCTTAATTATTCTCTATACAGTACATACCAGAGATACCAAGTTTCTAATCCATTCATAGTTGCTGTATAAATAAAACATTCCAAACACTTGGCAGCTCAGACATAGAGGACTTTGCCTTGGTGGGTTCTATAATCTGTGGTAAGGGGAGGTTATGGGGGTGGGCTTGTGTAGTAGTCTGCGGAAGAGGACCTTCCTTAGGAGAAGAAAGAGAAAAGGACACTGGAGAGAAGTTGGTTGGATGGAATAATTGTGGGCCAAACCCCAGGTAGCTTCTCTCTTCTACTGTATCTGGGTTAAAAGAGTCTAAAATCATCCATGTGCATCAAATTGAGTATTCACTTTGCTCTTTGGGCCAGAGGCCGAGCAAATGAACAGCAGATCAACACAGAAAGCACTCAATGTGACACAAGTGATAGGCCCTTTATTTTGTGCTGCTTGAAAAGAGCTAAACGGAGACAATAAATAACTGGCTTGTGTGTGACAGAGAGAAGAGCAAGGGAGAGGGATGTGTGGTGTGGGCCCTGCACAGTCAGATGGGGCACCGTTACCTAAGAAGCCCAGTGGCCATTAACGCGTGGAGAAAGCAACTGGGCCCTATAAGTCAGCCTGTTCCTCCCGTCCTTTCTCCTTTATTCCCTTCCAGTTGACTGACATGTCCTGGACTAAGAAGATGCTACCGTGGGGGTAGCCTACAATCTAGGATCATATCAAAAGTCCATGCAAGGTACCAGGGTGGAATACAAAAGCTAGAAAGCATAGGGTTAACAGGCAAGGCGGCATCTAACCTGGTGGGGAACAGTGAAGGTTAAGGGCAAATATTAAGGCTCTCTTTAGACCTGGTGAATCATCTGCGGCTTTTTGGCCCGGCTGCTGCTGCTCAGTCTCTGGGGAATACAGAATTACCGGGGAAAGGCAGATGGAAAGTGAGAATGGAGTATGAACTGTAATAAAATAAACAATTAAGGCCTTCAGAGGAAGTCCAGTTCAGGATCTTCACTTATTCCAAGAGGAGAGAGAGAAAGCTGTCCTCTCTCCCCTCTGCCCCCACCTCGCACATTAACCACAGGGTGATTGCCTGAATCCTGAGGCCCTGTGGGATTGATCGGTGAACACAAGGATAAAATGCTGGCAATGGATAGTCCCCCAGACTCAAGGAATATCTGGGGTGGTGGAGAATGAAGTATTTGAGCAGCACACAGAAGGGAGAGGGCACAAGGAATTTTAAGAACTAAGGGCCGGGCGCGGTGGCTCAGGCCTGTAATCCCAGTACTTTGGGAGGCCGAGGCGGGTGGGTCACGAGGTCAAGAGATTGAGACCATCCTGGCCAACATGGTGAAACCCCATCTCTACTAAAAATAAAAAAATTAGCCGGGTGTGGTGGCACGTGCCTGTAGTCCCAGCTAGTCGGAAAGCTGAGGCAAAAGAATCGCTTGAACCCGGGAGGCGGAGGTTGCAGTAAGCCGAGACTGCCACTGCGCTCTAGCCTGGTGACAGAGCAAGACTCCATCTCAAAAAAGAAAGAAAGAAGAAAAAAGAACTAAGAAGAAACAATGAGATTATTGGTAGAATGACTCCTCCACAGGTGAAAGCATTTCTGTAATTGTCACCATAACACAGGATACTTTTTAAAAGATATTAGTGTGGTAATGATATTCTGAAGGCTCATTCTGTGAAGATAAACAGGGCTTGTTCTTAAGCAGTGAGTTATTAAAGGGAATCTAGAGAAATGATTGAGCACAGGAAGGCTTAGGTTGGGGTATATCATGCATCTCTACTCTTTGCAAAGAGCACCCTGGATACCTGTTTCTGGTAGTTGGAAAGGGCTGTTCTGATATGTCCAGGATCTGGGAAAATGTGGGGCCTGACACCCAACAGCTCAGCTACAGATACTAACCTGGAGCAAGGGGTGAAGAAGCAAAGTTTATTAAACCATAGACCCAGACTCCATCACAAGTAGCTAGCTCATCCCTGGTATCCCTGCACCTAGAAAATTCCCAACACTTATTTGGTCCTTCTTGCCTAAACTACTACATGAACCCAGAAAGGACAAAGGGAACTAAGTTGCAGGCTAGGATAAGATATCCGGGAACCTAGAACTGTCAACACAACTCCACCCTCATCCCAGGAGAGTGGAAAAGGAAGCAGTTACACTGCAGGAAGAAGCCACTAGGGAAAAAGGCATTATTTGACAGGAAGAAATTGGAATTTTTTCTTTAAGAAACTTTCCAAAGTGAGATGTTTGATATAAATTATAGGGTAGACACTGTATATGTCTTCTCAGCCTCATGGAATTGGGATTATTCCTCCTCATATGTGGATGAGAAAACTAATTCAAAGAGGTTAATTATCATGCCCAGAGTCACCCAATCAGTTAACAGAGCCCACCTCTAGATCAGACGTGTCTGAATGCAAAGACCTGTCTGAATGATTGTTCAAGGGCTCTTGAACAATCTACCATGCCACGCTGCCATGTCCCATGGCGACCCATTGAGGGCTGGATGGGGAAGCACATTCCGCAGTAGGAGCCAGTGACCAGGGATGATCTGAAAGGGTCACAATGGTTGTTTTGTGCCGGGCCAGAGGGGACCCACTGAGGGGGATAAACCTGGAGCATGGATTTTGGGCCCTATAGAACCAAGGGTACCAAGTCCAATGTCCATAAACCTTTGAGTGTTTTTGTCTGGAATAATCTCTCCATGTCTTTACCCAAACAAGAATGAAGCAAAGAAAAGCAGTTAGGGCCTCACTACTGATGTTCTGACCAAGTGATATCATTTGGATGTTTTGTGCCCACCAAATCACATGTTGAAACATGACCTCCAGCGTGGGAGGTGGGTTTAGTAGGAGGTGTTTGGGTCATGAGGGCAGATCCCTCATGAATGGCTTGGTGCTGACCTCGTGGTACTGAGTGAGTTCTTATGTATGCATTCACACAAGGTCTGGCTGTTTAAGAGCCTGGCACCTTTACCTTCTGTCCCTGGCTCCCTCTCTTACCATGTGACAGGCTGGCTTCACCTTCCACCCTGATTATAAGCTTCTTGAGGCCCTTACCAGAAGCAAGTGCCAGCACCACACTTCCTGTACAGTCTGCAGAACCATGAGCCAAAATAAACCCCTTTATAAATTGCCCAGTCTCAAATATTATTTTAAAGCAACAAAAATGGACTAGTACACTAAGTTAATGATTGCCAAGATTCTAAATAACGTTATGACCAGAAATCTGCCCCATGTAACCAGTTCACATCTGGCTCATTTTCTGATTATGTTTTTTGTGAGTAATTCTAGCACTCTTGGACTGACAAGATGGGAAGACGGCCTTTTTCCAGCCTTCCCTCTCTTGCATTGCCAGTTCAGAAGCCCAGATCAAGTACCACTGGATGAGAGTGGCACACGGAAGGAGTAAGGGCCACTTGTAGAAGCTGATTTCTACAACTGGGGTCAAAAATTTCAGTGCATAAAGGAGCACTGAGATTAAAAAGGCTCTGTGATGTACTCTGAGTCTCAAACAACAAAAGTGTGCGCACAGTGGCTCACAACGGTCATTTCAACATTTTGGGAGGCTGAAGCAAGAGGACTGCTTGAACTCAGTAATTTCAGACTGCAGTGACCTGTGACTGCACCACTGCATTCCAGCCTGGGCAAGAGAGGGAACCGCTGTCTCTAAATAACAATAAGATAAATGAAATAAATTTAAAAATAAGAAAAGCTAAACTAGTCATATCACTACCAAGTGTCATATCTGCCTTGTGACGAAGACTTCAAAATTGTGCAAGTATAAAAAATAGCCATGCACAGCCTGCTTCAGAGTAGGGTTTCCCAAGTTTCCTGGATTATGTATGGGAGTTGGGGGGCATCTCTTTTAAAATATGCATTTTGAGGTCATTCTCCTGAGAGAATGATTTGGCAAGTTCTGGGAGTCCATATTTTTAATAAGCTTCCCATGTGATTCATATCTTCAGGCAAGTTTGAGAGTCATGGGTGTTGCCTGGTGATCTGCAAACTAAACTGATCCTAAGGATTACCCAAGAGTCTTCATATTCAGATTCTGGGGCAGTCTCCTAAGATGATTCCGAGCAGCCAGATGGACAGTTAGATCCCACTCTGAAGCTTTTCAGTGTTTAAAAACATGCCCATGTCTGCCATGTGGTAAGTACTAAATGATATTTGTTAAGCAATAACTCCTTTCGTCAGCAATATCTTCCACAGAGTCAGAAGTAAAACCAATAATTAGAAGAGCTCTGCTCCAAGTTGGAAGTCAGCCCAGAGCCCTGCAGCTTGGAATGGCTTTGCTCCCTGACAACCACCCTGGATGCTTTGGTAGATTCCTGGGGCTCCTCAAGTGAGCTTGAAAGCCACTGCTCCAGGCCATTCTTCCAAGAGAGAAAAACGTTCCTCAAAGAAGCATCAACCAAATGTCCGGAATTTTCTGGAAGCAGGGACAGCAGAAATGAGATAGAGTCTGGTGATCTAAGAGCTGGTGGAATCTGAAAAGCACACATACTGTAAGATTCCCACTTTATGACATACTGGAAAAGGCAAAACTCTTGAGACAGTAAAAAGATCAGTCGTTGCCAGGGAGGAATGAAAAGGCAAAGCACAGAGGATTTTTAGGGCAGTACTTGATATGATACTGCAATGACAAATATGTGTCATTATACATTTGCCCAAATGCATAGAATGTGTAACAGCAAGAGCGAACTATGTACTTTGGGTGATGATGATGTGCCAATACAGGTTCATTACTTGCGACATGTACTACTCTCGGAGGGGATGCTGATAATAAGCAAGGCTGTGCAT